CTCTCTCTCTCTCTCTCTCTCTCTCTCTCTCTCGCCTCCTCTCACCATGTGATCTGCTCATACCCACTGGCTGCCTGCCACTTTCTGCCATGAGTAGACACAGCCTGAGGCCCGTGCCAGATGCAGCGGTCCCAGAATTATAAGCCAAATAAACCTCGGTTCCTTATAAATTACCCAGTCTCAGGTATTTTACGGCAACACAAAAACAGACTAACATAGTCTCTTTGACAGCCTTCATGACGACCTCAGGCCCTTGGCACATAGAATCATGCTGCATTTACTTGTGGGGTATCTGACTGATTTCTCTCCCCCAGCATGGCAGTGGGGGAGACCCAGAGGCTGGCATGTTCACTCTGAATCTGCAGGGCCTAGAAAGGTGCCTGGCACATTGTAGGCGCTCAGTAAAACATTGATTGGCTACATTTAACTTTCAATTCCAACTTTCTCTGTCCTTTACTTACAGCATCCCCCAGAGCAATGTGTAAGATGCAACTCTGAGTCTGTAGGACCGGGGGGACGTGAGATGCACTGCCCTGGCCACACTTCAGCAGCAACGTCACAGGGCAGGGCTCTCAACTGCAAGTGACAACCTGTCAGTGGGCTGTGAAATCTACTGAGCACATCATGACTAGCCAACCTTTAATGGAACGAGATAAAAGAAGACAGTAAAGACAGTGGTGCAAACAGCCAAGGTGACATCACCTCACAGATCTTGTCTCAGGCATGTGTGTGTGTGCGCGTGCGCGTGTGTGTGTGCGTGCACGTGCGAGCACACATGCACATGCACGTGCATGGGTGTGTATGCCGGGCTGCCACATAAAACATATTTCTTTCTGTGGGTCATGGGCAAAAAGTTTTAGAATCCCTACAGCACAGGGTCCCAGCACTCCTTGGAACCAGCTCATGGGAGTCCCAAAAATGCTGTACATTCTGAGTGATTCTCACATCAAAGAAACAGCCACGGATGCACAAAATGTGGTCTATCCACATGATGGCATGTTATTCGGCCATAAAAAGGAATGAAGGACCAATACATGCTAAAACATGGATCAACCTTGAAAACATTATGCTAAGTGAAAGGCCACATATCGTATGATTCCATTTCTATGAAATGGAATCCACAGAGACAGGAAGTAGGTTAGTGGTTGCCAGGGGCTGGCAGAGGGGAAATGGGGAGTGACTGCTAATGGGTCTAGGGGTTTCTTTCTTTTGGTGGCTGACCAGTATGGGGATCCAGTTTGGGGTTTCTTTGTGGGGTGATGAAAATGTTCTGGGAATTAGATAGTGGTGATGGCTGCATAACTCTGTGAATACACTAAAAACCACTGAATTCTATACTTTAAAAGGGTGAACTTTCAGGATATCTGGGGACAAAAAGCTTAAGCAGTAGGTCCTGCCTGGCTGTCTCTCATAGGGCTGCTTGGAGGATGAAATGAATCAAGGAGCTCAGAAGCGCACCTGCTACCTGGTACCACCTAGTAAGTGCTGTCTACATGTTTTTGTTTTGGGGGTTTTTTATCTCAATAAGCTGATATTTAAAAGAAATGAAATAGGACAACCGGGCAGGGCAGGGCAGCTCACAGAGGAACCCCCTCCCATCTCAGCCTCCACCAGGAGGGGCCTGGCCCAGGCTCCCCCTCTTACCAGCGTCCAGAGCACAGGGAAGACGCGGGGAGCTCGCACAATGAGCAGCCGGCCCAGGGTCTCGGGGTAATTGTCCTCGACCACCTCAATCATGCGCAGCAGGGCCTTCACCCCCGGCCGCCACAGGTGCCGCATGTTGAGACCCTCCAGGTCCAGCAGGCAGGTCCAGGAGCTGCGGCAGAAAGGACCCCCTCGCTCTACCTGGCTTTGCTGCGCCCAGGGCCCCCAACACCCTCCCTGGGGACCCAGGTGCTGACCAACTGGGATGGACAGGGAGGCTCAGTGAGGCTGGGCTGGGAGCAGAGTGGGCCACAGTACACTCTTGGGGACCCTGCCACAATGGGGAGGCCCCATGGTGAGGAGGTTCAAGGTGTGGACTCCTAGGCTGAGCACCCGAATTCAAGTCTCACCTCCACCCCTGACAGTTGCATGACATGGGCCACGGACCTAACCTTCCTCATGGGGACAGTGGCAAGGGTCGCAACAGTCCCCATCTCAAGCAATTGTTAGGATTTCATGAGATGGTATACATAAAGCTCTCTGCAAGGACAGGCACACAGCATGCATTCAATAAAAGCTAGTATCACTATTAATTGTTGAAAAGATGCTAACTACTAAACAAAAAGGGCACAGGACCTGAGCACATGCATTCCACAGTCAGAGGGTCTGGGTTCAAACCCCAGTTCTGCCACTTGCTGTGTAGCCTTGGCCAAGTTCTTAACTTCTCTGTGCCTCATCTCACTAGTATCTATTCATTAGGAAAATGACTATTTTACTGCGGTGGCTGGTCCCTGGTGCCTTTCCATCCCAGATTTGCTCCCTTACCTCTGCACACACCTCTCAAGGCCCTGCATAACACCCCTCATTTGAACCATTTGGGGTGAATTCTTCTAGCCAGAGGGCTTTGGCTGATTGAGTCCCACCCCCACCCCAACATACATCTCCTTAGGAAACCTCCAAACAGCAAATGAGCTTAATTTTCACAAAGATCAGGATATCTGGGGACAAAAAGCTTAAGCAGTAGGTCCTGCCTGGCTGTCTCTCATAGGGCTGCTTGGAGGATGAAATGAATCAAGGAGCTCAGAAGCGCACCTGCTACCTGGTACCACCTAGTAAGTGCTGTCTACATGTTTTTGTTTTGGAGGTTTTTTTTGGCAGCTGGCCAGTATGGGATCCGAACACTTGACCTTGGTGTTCTAATACCTGCACTATAATCAACTGAGCTATCTGGCCAGCCCCATGTTTGCATTATTTTTTTAAGTTTTTTTGGGTTTTTTTTTTTTTCTTTTTTGATAATCCATTATTAAGAAACCCTAGGAGACGATTACAGTCCCTGCCTCAGAAGGATTAGGTGAGGACGTGGTGGTAAAGCCCCCGAAATGCCATGGGACACCATGCACATGTGTGATAAACGCTCGCTGTCTACTGTTTGGGGGAGTTGGCTCCCCACGCAGGTTCTTGCCTGATGGGACGGCCAAACTGTTTTGTGTTCCCTTCACATCGCTTCTGTCCTTCCTCGTTAACGGAAAGAACCTGGAAGGTAGAGACAGGGCTGGCCAATGTTCACCTGCAGGTGGCCCTTCTCAGGCCCAGCCCCCAGCCCCAGGGGTTCCAGAAAATGGGGACCGTGACTCACGTGCCGCAGCAGTGCCTCCTCCCCCACGGCCTTCATCAAGCCTTTGGTGTCCATCTGGCCCAAGCGAAGGATGTAGAGGGGGCGGCCGTCTTTGGACCGGGGCCAAGCAAAGAGAAGGGACCGTTATTCAAGGGCAGGTCAAAGCTGCAGACGGAGGAGACAGCAGGCGTGGCTCACCACAGCCCAGCCCCTCCATTCACCTGCTAACACACTGCTTGCTCCCACGAGGGGTGACACCACTGTCGCCAAAGGCAGCAACAACAGAAGTGTTCAGATAAGGATATGCACACAGGGGAAACGGGTGAGGGACATGGGAACCTCCTGATCTTGGCAACTCTTCTGTCCATCTAAAACTGTTCTAGGACCGGCCCGCGGCTCACTCGGGAGAGTGCGGTGCTGATAACACCAAGGCCACGGGTTCGGATCCCATATAGGGATGGCCGGTTTGCTCACTGGCTGAGCGTGGTGCTGACAACACCAAGTCAAGGGTTAAGATCCCCTTACCGGTCATCTTTTTAAATAAATAAATAAAACTGTTCTAGAATAAATCATTTATCTTAAAAAATTATATTTTTTGGTGCAGGCAGCTGGCAGGTACAGGGATCCAAACCCTTAACCTTGATGTTATAACATCACGCTCTAACCAACTGAGCTAACTGGCCTTTTATTTTTAAAAGATTTTTAAGAGGATATGAGCCATGTAAGAAAGACAAAGCAGACAGAATTTAGCTCTTAGCTTTCTGTCAGCCGAAGCAAAAAGGAAACATGAAGAGTTATTTACTAATAGTCAGTTCTCGTTATCCACGATAATTATGTCCTATAAAGTCTCCGCGAACACTGAATTAGCACATACTGAATCACTGCTTCTAGGAAATATGGTATTAGGTTCCTGGGAGCCTCTAGTCATACATTTTCATCAAGTGATCCATACATGACCTTGTTTTGTGTGTTTCTATTTAAGGACACTTTATTTAATATATATTGTTGATTTCGCAACATTGAGCTCATGCCCAAACAAAGCTCATGGAGCACAAGTATTTTCTCTGTAAAGTGCATCACAGCTTTCTTGCGCTTAGGAATATTAAACAGCACTTCAGTACTATGCCTGGGGGCCATTTTAAATAGCAAAATCACCAACAAAAAGCACAAAAATGCAAAATGCGGCACTAACTAGGCCACAGAAAGGATACCTGTTTATAGCTCAGGAGCTGAAACAAGACATCAGAGAGTCCCCTCGTTCAACCTCAGCAGGGAACATGTATGTTGAACCACTCAAATTATTCCCCATTCTGCACACATCCAAGAATAACCTTGGAAGTGCCACTGAGTGTTGATTTGGGGTTTACAAATAAATTTTAGCAAGTAGGCAAATTCACAAATATGGAATCCATAAATACTGAGGATCGGATATGTCTTAAAAGAAACCGTGCCAACTTCAGGAGAGTCAAACATTTACCCCAACCAACATATGTGAATTTTTATATAAAGCACATTGAAAAGCACAATAGGCATTGGCTTCAATAGCAGTTTAATTAAAAAATCCAGAAAAGATATCTGTAGTGGGTGGAATAGTGTCCTCCCAAAATTCATTTCCACTGTATCTTCAAAATGTGACCTTACTTGGAAATACAGTCTTTGTAGATGTAAGTAGTTAAAAATCTCAAAACAAAATCATGCTAGATTTAGGGTGGGCCCAAATGCAATAACCTGAGGTCCTTATAAGAAGAGGAGAGGACACAGAGCTACACAGAGAAGAAGGCCATGTGGAGCTGGAGGTAGAGACTGGAGCAATTTCCTTGCCACAACAAGGAACACCTGGGGCCCCCAGGAGCTGGAAAAGGCAAGGCTTTCCCCTGGAGACTTCGGTAGGAGCATGGCCCTGCAGACACTGTGAAAAAATAACTCTGTTGTTTTAAGCCACCAAGTTTGTAGTCATTTGTTATGGTTGCCATAGGGAATGTATACATTATTTATGGGGTCATTATGTATACAATTACAATGACCCAAAGTAATGGTGGGCTGACCCAGCTCAGAAAAGAACTTTCTCTCTTCAAGCCCAGAAGTCTATCCAGCTCTACCTTCTTCATAGCTAGGTTGTCACTTCAAAGGCATCTCCAGATGCTCGAAATAGTCGAAGGAAAAATAATATGTTAGCACAAAGTGTGTCATTTAAAGTGACTTTGGGACTGGCAGGTTAGCTCAGTTGGTTAGAGGATGGTGCTAACACCAAGGTCCAGGGTTTGATCCCTATACTGGCCAGCCACCAAAAATTAATTAATTACTTAATTAAATAATATAGTGCATTTGGCAGTGACCAAATTATGCTCCATACTATATGTAGGTACAGGCACACACCTATGTCCTGGTAATGCCAGCCCCCTGCATAGAACTCCTCCAAGACGGCAGGGGGTTGCCAGGTCTGAAGGAGGAGATCCACCTGGTACTGCTTCCGCCAGCTCAAGGACTGGCACAGCATTTCCCGGGCCTTGTCCAGGTGGAAGTCACAAGCCCGCAGGAACCGAAGGATGTGCTCATCTTTGGGAATCTGAGAGACAAAGAAAGAAAAAGCCCATAGAATGCTATTCTCTAACCCAGCTAATAAAATTCTAGAAAATGAGCTTCCTATCTCATCTGCAAAACATTTAGCTGGGAAAAGGACCATATTCTCCATCAACCATAAAGCAGAGAGACAGCCAAGGGGTGGACTGTAGCGAATATCTATGCATCTTGGCTGTCTACCATTCCTCCTTCCTTGTGCTGGTAATAGCGTCTTTCTTTTGGGGAACTACTCCCCAATGCACCAATCATGCAAAACAAGCCCCAATAAGAGCTGCCCTTCCTTGAGTGCTCACTTCAAGCCAGAAACCATTCTAAACACCTGAAATGTATTACCCACTGTAATTCACTCTGGGAGGTAGGTGTATACTAACATTATCCCCATTTTACAGATGAAGAAATAGGAGCAGGCAGGTTAAAGCACAGCCCAACACTAAAGTAACTCCCTCATCTGCCCCTAGGTGTGGGGGGAAGGAAGGGCAAGCAATGCATGACTAAGCAAGAAGTTCTGACTCATCAGAGCTAAAGATAAAGTCCACACTCAGGACCTACATGCATGGTATATACAACCATGTTACAGGAGTTAGTGTCTAAATGCACAATCACGTGCAGTCAAAACCTGCCCTCACAAAGTCATTAGATCTCTTAGAAAAGAACAGTATACATGGTTTCATGAACATGCTACTATACAGCAGGTATTCTCAATTGTGCCCCACAGTGGACATTTGGCAATGCCAGAAATATTTTTATTTGTCACAACTGGGGGAAGGGGGAGGGCTACTGGCATCTAGTGGTGGAGGTCAGGGATGCTATTAAACACCCTACAATGCACAGGACGGTCCCCACCATAAAGAACTGTCCAGTCCCAAATGACAATAATGCCAAAGAGGAGAAACCCTGCTCTCAGTGGTGTGCACAGCACACATCATGGATACAGGAGACAATATATAATAAAAAAAAAAGCAAAATAGAACTTTTCAATATTGCTAATTACATAAACTTGTTTATCTTGCCTTTCTTCCTCCTGTGCGTAAGGCTGAGTATCTGTCCTTGGAGGTGCATCTGCTACTCCAGGGGGCCCACCCAGTACCCACCTTGCCTCTGTGGTTCTCCAGTAACCAGTGCCGAAGCTGGATGAGGCAGCTCTCCTGCATGGGTGTGAGATGGCCCAGGCACCTCTCAATGTAGTCCACATCCAGCTTGTCTCCTTGGAGAAGAAAGCAGGTGTTAGGACAAGAGAGAGGGGCCGACCATGTGGTCTGCCCTTTCTGTAGCCCTTGCCTTTCTTACCAGCTGCCTGAAACATGATTCCCAGCCAGGCTGCAGCCCCCTCCCCAGACAACAGTCCCCAAATTCATTCATTTTCCAACCCATTTCCAAGGTGGTTCTGAAAATTCAAACCTGGATCTCACTGGGGGATGGATGTGGTTTCTCCTCTTTGAACCTCAGAAATGCAAAGAATTCCCACCCTCTGGAGCTGTTCTGAAGATGACTGACAATATGTGCTCACATTCTGCATGCTCAGGACATGCCTGGTCTCAGCGAGTTCTCCCAACACCCCTGTGAGATGGGCATCACTATTATCCCCACTATAGAAGATAAAACTGAGGCCAACACAGGGTGAGTAACTCAAGTGAGTAAATGCAGGTAGCGTGCACAACATAAATTAGTTGGTTGATAAATTCCAGTTCCCTTCACTTTCCCACCTCCCCAAGCCACTTTGCAAGGTGTGAGGCTTTTGGTAGACAAAGCCTGAACCCTGAAACAGAGCCATGCCATCTGTTCAAGGGCCTGGGAGCCACACGATCATTCTCACTGTGCAACCTTGTCCCACACAATTGGGCATTCTGGGGTCAGCACGTTGCTAGTATGTAGAGGCCAGGCCCCAACTTGAGTCCTGTCACCCAACTCTTAACCATTGGTGTGGCAGATGCTGGCATGCCGCAGCCTCTTGGCATCTCAGCAGCAGTGGAGATGTTACACAAAGCAGCAGCCCCCAGGGCCACAGCCGATTCTTGTGGACACATGGCTCCATAAGAAAACAGACTGGATACCTGCACGTCCAGCAGCAGCACTAACAGGTCCACCCCCAAAAACAGAAAAGCTGGGGCTGGGGGGCATGCCGACTGTGCAAGGAGGCATCTAAGTAAACAGAGGCAGGAGGGATGCTTGGGAGGGACCGTCCAGACCATGCAACACCTCATGAGGTCAGAGACAGAGAGACACTGGAGATGGGAAGGTGGCGGGGACCGGACAGGGGAGAAAACACGAGGGAGGCAGGAGCTCCTGGCATCCTTCTGGCTTCCAGGCAGATGTGAAGGCTCTTTTCTACTTCTAAACACAAAGGCTCAGTGATTCAGAACAGGGTGGAAGCGGCATGAGTACGCCTCCTGCCGGCCACCCTAAATGTCAGCATTGCTGGTGGACAACACAGACTGAAAAGGGAGGAAAGACCTGTACAAAATGGGGAGGGCCCAGGGGATGACACCCCAGAGAGCATACATGGGAAGGAGCAAGAGAGGGAAAAAAAAAAATGCACGTTCAATGACAGCCAGACAGTGCACACAGCTGGTGCAGAATAAATACTTGTTGCATGAATGAATTTCATCCTCCCTACAGCCCCAGATGTACTATTAGTCCCATGGCTCTGTCACCCAAGTATCTCAGAGTCAGGCAAGCCCCTACACTTCAACGGCCCTAAAGAAACTCAGAATCAATATGAGCCCATGCCGTGCACATGGTTAAAACTGGATTCATGGTGTATATACAGTTTTGTATCCTAGGTTTTTTTCTCCTTTTACATCATATTGTAAACATTTTCCATGTCAACAGAAGTCTAAGCTGAGACAAATGGCAAATCGCCTTAATATACAAAGAGTTCCTAAAAGCCAAGAAGAAATTGATGGGCAAATAGGAAAATGAATGAAGAACAGGGATTCACCAAAAAAAGAACACAAACAGTAACTAAACATGAAAAAAATAATGTAGTGCTTGACCTCACTCAATGAAAAAATTGATCACTGATGTACCAGTGATCACCCTTACTGCCTTTCAGAAGTTTGAAATGTTTAACACGAGTCTTGTGTGAAGCCAGGGTGAAGTCAGAAATAGACACAGTTACACACTTTCAGTGGGAACATTGATTGGTACAGCCTCTTCAGAGGCCTGATTCATAAATGTACTGAAATTTGAGTTGCACATAAACTTCAGCCCAACAATTTCACTTTTAAAATTTTATGATGTGAGCCACCGTAGGAAGCACCCTGAGCTCTCCCAAGCCAGGGTGGTGGGGGGCCTCGGGCCTCGGACATGCCCCTCGACACGTAAAACTAGCCCAGTGAGGACCACTGAACTGCCGCAGGAAGTGCCCCAGGTTCCTGACTGGGGTGGTGGGAAGTGAGGGCTTTTGCCACACCCTTCTGACATCTGCACCCAGCTTGGCAATGACCAAGCCAACACTGGAAGCCCCCTGGTCTCCCCTGTGGCAAGGAAGGGGATGTCACAGGCCTCAATCCTGCTCCTCCTCCTTCCTCCTTCTTCCATCCCATTTCCTTCCCCTTTCTCCTCTTCCCTTCCCTCCCAACTGCTCTGCAACAACATCAAAGAATGTAAAACAATAATATTAAATAAATAAATAAAATGTGTAATCTAAAAAAATAATTTATGCTGTGTATATACTCACACAAATTTCTTCATAAATCCTTAAATACAAAAATGTACCACATTATTTGTATTAAAAAAACCTGAAACCTAAATATCCATCAATATGTGACTAGCTACACTAAAAATAATCAATAAATAATAAATAAATGTTTATTAATAAATAAGTTATAGTACAACCATGCCATACCATGAAGTATTGAAAAAAATTGTTCAAACAACATTGGTAAGTGGGAAAAAAGCAAAGTATTAAATAGAATGTATAGGGCCGGCCCGGTGGCGCACTGGATAGTGCGCCGCTTGGGAGGGCGGCGTCGCTCCCGCCGAGGGTTCGGATCCCATGTGGAGACCGGTTCCCACTCACTGGCTGAGCATGGTGCGGGCGCAACACCGAGGGTTGCAATCCCGTTGCCGGTCCCCGGTATGGGCGCGACACCGAGGGTTGCGATCCCGTTACCGGTCAGTAAAAAAGACAAAAAGGAAAAAAAAAAAAAAGAATGTATAATATGCTCCCATTTGTTCAACATGTCACACATGTATGTATGCACATATGCACATGCATGTGTATATAAACATATTATTTATGTATACACATAAGCCTAGATAGCTCCAGGAAATATAAACACAAAACTACTACAGTCTCTAGGGAGAGGAAAGAAATCTTATTTCTTACTTTTTATCTTCCAAGTAGTCTGAATTTTTTTCTGCCAAGATCATGCATTACTCATCTAATTTAAAATACTAACAAAACCAGAGAAAAAGGCAGTCCTGTGGCACCAGAAATCAATACTGCTCTAGAAATAAACCACTTCTGGCTCTTGGGCCAGAATGGAGAGAGGTTGGAGCAGCCAGCAGAGGGAGGAGACTGAGCCATTCCAAGACCCAGACTGAGCCATTCCAAGACCCAAAGGGGACAAGCAAACCTGCAACAGGTTTCCTAGGACTATGGGGGCCCCGAGGGTGCAGACTTGCTGTCTGACCTAGGCTGCAGTGACCTACCGTCTGTAGTGATCGTCTCCAGAGCAGGGCTTTGGATGCTGCTGGGCCTGTCGGCCTCCAGGGAGCCAGGGTCCCGCAGCCCACCCTGGCTGCTGACGTCATCCTCGCAGACCGGGGCAGGTGTCCAGCGGGGAATGTGAGAGGTGCCCTGGGAGATGAGCTCGTTCAGGTAATGTTCGATCACCTCTTTCCCCTGGAAACCAGAGAGACCCAAGACACTTCAGCACAGGCACAGGGTGGTGGAGGTCATTGCACCAGCTGGGGAGTTGCCCCTGCCAGCCTCCAGTCCAAATAGAGGTGGCTGTGAGCGTCAAATCTGCATTGGACTTCCAAGACTTAGTACAAAACAAAGAATCTAAAATGGCTCAGTAAATAAAAGTTTTATACTGATAACACATTGCATAAAATATGTTATAAAAATCAATTTGTCTGTTTCATTCCACAAACAAGCCTCGACTCAATGACGGGTCTGAGGTTTTTAGTCCAAGCCGTGATCATTTGTATCAGGAAAAAGCACCACAGAATGTCCTTCCTCTGTCCAGAGAATTCACTATGCAAGCCCCCAACATCTCGGGGTGCCAGGACAATGATCGGGGTGCCCCCATTACAGGGCAGGTACTTTCCATCCATTATCTCATGTGATATAATTGTTACTAGAATACCCATTTCACAGACAAGAAGACCACGGCCCAGAGGGTTAAGGAGCTTGTGCAACGTCACACGGGTTTTCAGGTGGCAGCGCGTGTCTGTGTGCCTTCCTCCCCATGGCTGAGCAGCCCGCCTCCTACCCGCTTGACACTGGCGGTGTACTGCTTCATGGCAATCTTCTCCAAGGTATTTTCAAAGCCAAAGAAAGACCGGATGTCCAGCGAGGCGGACTGCTCAAAGCATGTCCAGTCTTCGTTCTCAGGGTGGACCTGAAAGCCAGGCAGGGGTGACACCAGGGTCTCACTGTAGGGTATGCTGTGCCCTCCCGGCGGCTCTCCTAGGGACCTGGACCCAGGTAGAGCATGCAGTGGTCAGCATGTCATAGCCTGGTGACACCAGAGGGGGCAGCAGGACCGAGGGGGCCCCCCAACTCAGGGAACAATGTAAAGTCTATGCTGTTGGGGAACAAAGAGCTTTATCTTGAGGGGCCGGGAGAATGTGGGTCTGATTCTACACCCCTGCCCCTTGAAAATGATATGCACACATGGAAAATTATATATACATAACATGTGCAGTATATCATTACATAATATATAAATTATATGTCAATATTACAAATAAACTTTATATATTTTTAAAATAGCTATGTACCAAATGTTATATATTTCATAAAAAGATATATTACACATCCTCATAAATCAATAAATATTTATATGTATGTCAGCAAAAAATCTCTTTTGTTGGCAGAGCTACTGTGCATATCCAGACTTAGTGCTCCTCAGACATCTGTGGGCAGAGTCGTAACCAGGGAGTCTGTTACATATGCAGATTCCCGGGCCTGCCCCTAGACACTTCTGGCTGGGCAGGTCCAGGGTGAGGCCGAGGAATCTGCATTCTACAGGCAGCCTTGGTGCTGCCAATTCTGCTGTTGGCAGAACTTGCCCTGAGAAACACCATGTCCCAAGAGATTTAAAAACAACCACTGCTCACACCTCCCCAGAGGATCTGAATATCCTGGGCCCAGTTTGCAGGAGGCCTCAAGAGGAGCTGGAGGCATGTAAGGAAAAAGCAATGGGCATTTACTTGATGTCTGCTGTATACAAGGCATCATGCTAAGTGCCTGGGCCTGAAAGATGAACGAGACAAAGTCCCTTAATGGGGGAGACTGGGCAAAAACACCTCAAAAACACTCCCAGTGGTCTGTAATTGCCACGCTGGAGTTAATGTCAGAGAAACTACCCAACACAGTAGGATCTGCTAACATCCCATTGCGTAGAAATGGACGGTGTGGCCCAGAGAGGGGAAGCCACTAGTCTAGCATCACTCAGTGAGAAAGTGGCAGAGCTGGGCTCCATCCAGGGGGCCCTCCAGCCCCTGCACTCCAGCCCCTGCACTCCAGCCCCCGAGGCCTCCCCCATCAGACCTCGCTCATCCCTTTGGGGTCTTCGCTTATGCTGTTCCCACCCCCAGAACTCTGTTCCAGCTCCTCTCATCCTTCAGCTCTCAGCATCAGCAGCCCCTCCTGAGAGGCCTGAGGGACACCGTGACCCAGGAAAGTACCCCTCCTCTTGCTCCTGTAATCCTATCTGCTGGATCCCACCCTAGCACGGTGACAAATAAATGTACATTGATTTGTGTTTTTCTCGTCTGTGACTCCACCTCGAACGGAAACTCCAGGAGGGCAGTGGTCAGGTAGATTGGTCCCCTGCTGGGTGCCCAGCACTTGGCAGGGTGCCTGACTCATAGTAGGGGGTTCATCAGTATGTACTAGAGAATAATAATCATTATCAATCATACTAAAAAGTAACCCTTATAGAGAACTTAGTATGTGCAGGGCACTGATCTAAGGGGTTTGAATAGTATATTTTCCTTCATTTAATCCTCACCACAACCTATGTGGTAGGCACGATTATGAACCCCATTTTACAGATGAGGAAACTGAGGCACAGTTTCATGAAAGAAGGAAAGGAAGGGGAGACAGGAGGGAGGAAAGGAGGGAGAGAGGGAAGGAAGGAGGGAGGGAGGGATAGGGGATAGGGCTTCCAGATTTAGACTATAAAATACAGGTTGCCCATACACATTTGAATTTCAGATAAACAACGAATAACCTTCAAGTATAAGTATATCCCAGGCAATTATTTGAGATATACTAGAAAAGAAATTCCTCGGTTGTCTGTCTAACTGCAAATGCAGCCAGGCATCCTGCATCTTATCCGCCCAGGCACTGGAGGGGCGCAGGGAGGGGCGGGAACCGGGGGTTCGCCGGGGCGGTCGCGCTCACGGTGTAGCTGCAGGTCTCCTTGACCGCCACGCGGCTGGCGAAGGTCTCGTTGTGCGCTTCGATGAGGAGCGTCCTCTCCTTCCAGTTCAGAACGTTTCTCTGCACGAAGACCACGTGCTCCACGCCCGCGATCTGCGAGGGGAGGACAGCCGGGGCGTGAAGGACACAGGGCGGGGGTGTCCGGAGAGCCGTCCGATCACCCCGTTCCCCTCCCCCCGTCCCGGGGTCCCTCGCCCCGCCGCCCACTCAGCCC